GCTGGCATCCAGTACCAATGCTCTGAGCACTGTGGGCGTGTCCCCGAGCGCTGTGGGCGTGTCTGTGAGCACAGTGGGCGTGTCCCTGAGCGCTGCAGGCATACCACCAAGTGCTGTGGGCATGTCCCCAGGTACTGTGGGTGTGTCCCCGAGCACTGTGGGTGTGTCAGTGAGCACTGTAAGCATGTCCCCAAGTGCTGTGGGCATGTACCTGAGTGCTGTAGCATGTCCATGAGCACTGTGGGCGTGTCCCCGAGCATTGTGGGTGTGTCCCCAAGTGTTGTGGGCATGTCCATGAGCATTGTGGGTGTGTCTGTGAGCACTGTGGGCGTGTCCCAAGTACTGTGGGAATGCCCATGAGCACTGTGGGCTATGAGGGCTGTTGTTCTAACCTGACATTACGTGAATCACAGGGGTGACAGTGCCCCCTCACTGACCACACACTGCCTACCATGTGGGGAGGTAGCAGGGGCTTAGGCAGCAGGACGTGGCCCAGCACCTCAGGGGATGGTGGGCATCTTGGTCTGGAGGCCAACATTCCTCCAGCAGTCAGACCACCATGCAGAGCGACGCAGGGGTGGACGGGCCTCGCTCCACTGGGACCTGCAGGTCATGCAGAGTCTGTAAGGCACACACAGGTGTGACTGCCCCAGCACGTGGCTTAGGGAGGTTGAGTGATGGGCCCTATGTCACACGGTGTCACACTGACAGAACCTGCTCCAACCAGTGCCCAATGCCTACACTAACACGTTACAGCCCAGCTGACATAAGAAAGCTTCTAAAAGCTGAGACCATACCAAGCCCCTCCACAGGGCCATGAACACACCCTGGCTTGTGGCACTGTCTCTGGGTCTGCGTGCATGTGGCCACGGCCCATTGTTTCTGGATGTGATCTGTGCCGCATGGCGGGAGATGGTGCAGAAACGCAGCCGGCACTGGGGGGTGCTCACAGGTGACCCGCCCTCCCGTAGGAACCGACCCGGCGCCTCTGCAGAGGCATTTACTTACCTGGAAGTCTCTTTCACCCAGAATTTCCCTCCTCCACCTCAGGAGAAAGGCTGCACAGACGTACATGTGGAAATGAGAAAAGCCCTCGGGTTCCGACTGTAAGAGAATAAGTGATGAAGACAACGTTAGCCTGTGGGGCCACGAGGGGCTGTGAGGGTGCTGGGGCGTCAGCAGCCTGTCATCTGACCTGCTGATTAGGGTTCAGCCCCTACAACCACGTGAGTGAGGAGACTCCTCGAGACTGACACCTGACCCAAGGATTTAGGACTTGCCAACCTCCACAACTGTGTGACCATTTCCTTGGCAGTTTGTGAGTTCTGTGAGACATTACAGTGAAAAACAGAACCCTAAGATGGGAGGGAGAGTACTGAGGAAAGGAAGAG